CCTAACACAATACAGAAAAACAGTTTCTGTGAAGTTGAAAAAAATACCATAAAGCAGGATTTTTAAACAGAATGCTGGTCCAATACAAACACTCTGAAGAGTGATTCACCCAGGTAGAATATGAAACTACACCTGCACTTATTCTGTAACCAGAATACATTTAGGCAGTAAGTGTATTATTCTTACAGAAATGGAAGTAGAGAGCTACTCAACCCTTTCCAGGTCAAAGTTGTTTTTTTTTTAGCTTGGATTGGGTGTGTTTGGTTGTGTGCGTGTATGCGTGTGTGTCGTGATCAGGGGACGGAAGAGACAGGGTGAGAGAGCTTTAAAGATGTGGCTTATTTTGGCTGTTAGGGGGAACAGTTGTTTCAGCGATCAGGAGGGACCCAAACTATCAAAGTGGCTCTTCAGTTGTCAGATGTACTGCCCTCCCACATATGCACTCTCCTCTAGTTAATGGCCGTGGTTCACAGCTCCATAACGAACCAATAACATGATGGAATCCTAACAGGGTGCTTGACACACTTTGTGCCTGTTTAAAGCTTCTCTTGCTAAAAAAAAAAAAAAAACTCAATTGGAATGTATATTCATTGGGATTGTTTGTTGAATTGAATGTCTCTATAGTTCTGGAGCTTAAGACCACTGACCACTGCAAAACCCGTGACAGATTTTACTCCTTTTTACACCAATCCACACGGTCGGTTTTGTGCTTTCCAGCTTGCAAGGATTATTTTTGTACAATAAGGCACATAGCTTAGACTTTTAAAAAAAATAATAATAAAAGAAAGCTGTTGGAGTCCTTGCTTTATGAATGACAAACATGACAACTGAGAAATCAAGTTAAATAATTCTCTCTCATCATTTTATAGCTTTTCTTACAACTAGTGTAGTACTTTTTTTTATGTTGAAAATATGTCCCAACAATGTTAAGCTGTTCATACTAAATTTGTAAGATATTTGTTTTGGCGGTGGAAGGGTTTTCTCTGTCTGGAATTGGCATTATTGACATTAGAGGTTTATTAAAGGTCTAAATCTTTAGTATTATTGACCTGCACAAAGCGTCCACCGCGTTGACATCCTGTCACTGCTGCATCCTTTCTGGTGTTCTGCTCAGAAATTAGGATTCTTGCTACACAATTAGGATTTTTCAATAACACTTTATTTGACGGGGTGTGCATAAGACTGACATGACATCTGTCATGAAGATGGAGGAGTCTTCATGAATGTCTATGTTGTAATGAAGTGCATAAATAATGACACTTTAATGTAAAGTTGGCACTTTTAATGGACTTTCAATGCAACTTTTAGAGCAACTTTGCGCTACAGGTGTCCTGAGTTACCGAATGACACTTCATGACAACAGTCATAAAATTCCTTCATGTTCATAACAGATGTCATGTCATATTTATGACAGTGTCATGTCAGTCTTATGCACATATGGCAATAAACTAGAACTTGGTCTCTGATGATATCCAGAGAGCCTCTTGTGGTCTATGCCTAACCCTGTAACAACAGCTTAGAGTAAAAGTTTCCAGTATTTTCCCCAACATTGATATTATTACCTCATCATCAAAACTGTGCAAGCTCTTTGAATTTAAGCATTGGCCTTCAAAAATGTTTGCGTTACACACTTTCATATGGATCTTACAAATGAAGCCATTTTAGATCAGATAGTTTTGCCTAAACCTACGAGTCTTTGGGTTGCATCATGGCCTTGAACCTATGAAGTACTGACCTATGCCTAAACGGAAGTTAAATCCTTTTTTACGTCTTTGCAGAATAGAGGGGAGCCAAATGCAGGAAGAATGCAAAACAGAGACAGCTATTTATTAAAGTTTTACAAGTTTATTAATGGGTAGTGTTACCAATACATCCTGCTACAGCCAGGACACTGGTGGTCTTGACACGGCCCAAAACAAAAATAAGTTTGACGCTCCTGGTTTACAGGACTTGAGCCAGGTCCTGCTGGAAAAAGGATGTGAGACAGATCAGGTCTTCCATCTGCTTTGTTACGATCAGTCCCACTTCCTTAAACAAACAGAGTCACTGTCCTCTGTGATTGTGGATGTCTGTGATTTACCATGAACACAACTGGCTAAACACAATGCAACTAACTCTAAATAATACTCAGAAACTAATATTAAGATCATTCGACTTTGACACTGCAATGTCTTTTAAAATGGTCAATATCACTATATCAAAAGCACCTTCTGGTACAGCCAGCATGTGTTTTAATGGCTGCCGAGAACAACCTTCTCCTTCTTTCTGAGATTGCTTTCTCTGAAACCTTTCGAACTACTGCTGAATCCGTTTATTTATAAAGGTGGAAGTCTTTTGTAGTTTTAAAATGTTTTATTACAAGAAGACTGAATTAAAATTGGGTGACTTTTTTAACGCCTCACTAAGCTGTCAAAGTCCCTAAAAATATTTTTTTCCAATGACAAATGTACAGTATCTACAGGGCATGTGTCCCCAACCACCATCTTGGTGCTTTTTCCTCAGCAGTATGTTTTTGTGAAGCCTTCTCAACTCATACTGAATTGTTCTTAGGACACACACATACACACACACACAAATATATATATATATATATATATATATATATATATATATATATATATACATATATATATATATATATATATTCCAGCTTACTGCTGGGGGTCACGTTTGTTGTATAAGCATTCCTCAGGGGAGCCATTTTTCTGTTGCCAACCACATTTATGCATCCCTAATTCATGACCTGTCTGTGAAGGCTTTGTTGGTAACAATGCCACCTCCGAAGCTACCGGCTTAAAGATCGGAGAAAGAAGCACTGTCATTCGCAAATTTCCACTGACAAACACGGATAATTACAGGAATTAGCCTGCTATTTTGTCATTAGCCTTCACTTTCAATGAGTCATCATGAAAAAGAAGCAAGAGTCAGGAACAAAGACGGATGTCTTTGGAGGATTTCAAGACACTCGTTCTCCACACCCCTTCGCCCACACATTCAATTTGCTGTTTTATTATATTATTAATGTAGTCAAGCTTCAGGCTTTGAAGCTGACAGTTTTTCTTCTGATTGGTATTGTGTGAGCTCTGATGGCTTAGCTCAAGGGAAGTCAGAATGATTTCAAATGCACTTTGTTAGTGCCATGATGAAAATGGCAGCTCATTTTTTTAAAAAATCTATATATTTGCAAGCATGATTACAGGGTGTGTGTTCAAACAAATGAAGCCCAAACAATGACACACAATCAGGAATTTATAAGACAGGGAAAGGCCATGGAGAGATTAATAAGTGCTTTCAAAACACACACACACGCAAGCACGCAGACAGACCGGAAGACTGAAATTATACATATGAAGATTTTGACCGCAGTCATTTTCTGTTCCAGTGAACAGGCAAAAGTAGACTTCCCACAATGCAATTTCCTATTGATTTGTATGTGCACTTATTGAATCTGATGGTTTCCAAGCTAGATACTAGTGACATTTCTGTCCTGACAGATTTACGACTGGCTCAAGGTCGTAACAAAAACAGGAGACAGGAGGTGCAGAAAATGAGTATTTATTAACAAAAACAACAATGGATTGTGAATGTGGCGTAACGGAAAAAATGCTTGGATGTGTTGTATGTGTGCATAAGGAAGTGCTGAGGTGCAAAAACAAAGATCAACTCAAATGCAAGAGGAGGGGAGCTGAGGCCCGGCAGCAGGGCACCGCACACGTCAAGAGGCAGAGCAGATGCCGAAGGCGACCCAGAAGGTGGAAGACGGTCAGGTTTAAATGTACTGTGCTTCAAAAGAGCAGGTCAGCCGCAGATCCTGTAGAGAGGAGGAGCACAAGGGCAGACACCAAAAACACCTGCAGCCCAGCTCACGAGGCCCAGGGCGTAACAGTAACTTTGTAAATCAGGAAAAAGAACAGGTTTGTTAACGTCAAGTGGCTGTTTATGTGAAGGTCTCCTTATAACCTACAGGACATTGTCAGCAAGCTGTGCATTTTCAAGATGTATTCCAACAATATGACAGCTATTTTGATTGAAATCGAAATAATTAGACTGTAGTTAGTATGCTGTTCAGAGCTTTGCATTGTAGGTATTTTTTTTTCTTTTCTCAAACTTTAAATGCACCATTTTTGCAATGTTTTTGCTAACAGTGCCAATAAATGCAGCATGTTGCTGACAATTATTTCAGATGTAGATGAAACTCCAACACTGACATTTTGCTATTATTTAGCACCTGATTTTTTTTTTAATGTCTTTGTGACTTTGTGTGTATCATGCCTTCTATGTGAACGTTGATGTTTTCTTGGGGCTCTTTAGTCCAAAGACCAAAGTCATGTCCTATGTCAATTTCTAACTTAAACAGTGACTGTATAAAGGTACGTATCAAAAAGTTAGAATTTCCAAAAAAGGTAAATAGTTTTTGTCACTCATATCTGAAAGTGAACACTAAAATTAGAATATTACATATGATCAATAAGCACATTTTAAACAGAATGTGTCAAACAAACCTTCTGATTTGACACAAACCTTCATGCTTTTGTGAGCATTTCTCATATGATGAAAACCATTTTGGACAAGTTGTGAGAGTGGCCTAACTTTAACTTGGGTCACAAACTGGGGAATTTGGATATAGAGTGAGGTATTATCACAGCAACATTAGAGTACTACATGTTGAGCAGCTCAAGAGATAATACCCAGGGGACACAAATGGCAAGCACCCACTTCAAAAAATATTTGTGGTATGCAATCTGTGAGGCTTGACATGTTTGTTTGCTGCATTTTCCATTTAATAGGTAAATGAAAAATGGTTAGAATCACATTTTTGTTGATTGCCTGTGTGCCTGTGTGTGTGCTTATAGTCAGACTTTATTTACAGGTAGATTGCCATATCCCAGTGACTTTTTTCCACATTTTGGGAAGACACATTAAAAATACCAAATACACCAAAATCACCTAATTAAGTTGAATAAAAGGCTGTTAATTTACTTGTATTAAGCCCTCTGGTTTAGTGTTTCTTCATTTAATATGTTTGCATGTAGTTCGTATTTTCGCCACTAGGTGGCCACCTGAGCACATCGATACAACACAACATCGTTCAGAAAGGGAGAGATGTGCGTCGATTGAAGAAAGTCACCATTTGTGCTTCGTCTTTGTTTCTTAGATGCCGAAAAGCTGTAGCTACACTAGGTATGATACAGCATTAAGAGTTTTTCAGACGCTTTTCTGTATAATTTTATGGTTTGTGTTTCTGAGGTGTGTTGTTGACGTCTTGATTAGGTCACCCTTGTAAAAGAGACCTTGCTGTCACAGGGTTTCAAGATTCAAGATGATTTTATTGATCCCCGCAGGGAAATGATTTCGTTCAAGTAGCACAAAAAGAAAAAAGAAAAAATTAACAGAGGAAAAACAAATTAAAAGCAAATACTACAAGTATGTAATGTATACTTTGGCACAACGGCAGCTGTGATTATTATTTATATGCATTTATATCGTACATTTTTAGAACAAGTTATTCGTTAGAATGTGTCTTCCGGTAGGCTTTTGGTCAGGTGTTTAATACCTTGTGGACGTTTTTTGTATTTGTATTTGTAGTAAGAGTACTCACAGACCAGAAGTTAGGATTCAGTTTATTTTCTCCAAGTAGAAACCACTTTTGTAGGTCGATGCCTGTATGGAAGAATGTTGAACAACTTAGAAGATAAACCTTGGTTATCTTGATTTTAATCAGCCATCAATTGAAATCAGGTGTGCTGAAGGAGGTTGCTATAAAACATGCAGGGCAGTGTGCTATGAGGTCAATTGCTGAAAAACGCTGCTCACTGCCAGTTGACTAAATTGGTGGAAAAGAGTTCAGACTAGACTTGGACTTGACCCTCAAAGACTTGAGAATTAACTCTGGCTGCCTTCCAATTTGTGTATGCTAAGAGACACAGTTCGACACCTTTCATTAAAGCATCTGGAGAACTCTACAGCATATGCCAGATTTCTTTTTGTCGATTTTAGTTCAGCGTTTAATTCTATTCAGACAAACATCCTCCTCAGAAAATGAATTCAGTTGGAAGGTTAACCCTTTTTTAATTAAGTGGTATTACTCTTTTTTTTATCAAAAAGATCTAACCAAGTAAAGTACAACTCTGATCCCAAGTTAAGTAGCACAGGTGCCCCCCGAGGCAGCATTAGTTTGCCTTACCTTTTCATTTTGTACACAAATGAATGTGTTAGTTGTCAACCCAGCCAGGACATAACATTTTCAGATGACACGGTTATTCTGAGTCTTCTAACAGACAATCCCGACAGTCACAAATCTGCAGCAACTGTGTGATGCTCATCATGTCAATATGGACACGACTCTGAGGAATGTTTCCAGTACCTTGTTCAATCTATGCCACGATTAGGATTACGGCAGTTCTGAAGGCAAAAGGGGGTCCAACCCAGTACTAGCAAGGTGTACCTAATAAAGTGGCCAGTGAGTGTATAAAGTCCAGAAAGCTACAGTTTAGGGAACACTGTGAGAACAAGTACTAACATTATCGTCATGATTAACACATGCAAAATTTGTACTTTTTGGTAAATGTTCCAACAATAAAAAATAAAAAAAACTTAAAAAACAAAAATAATAATTTCCCAGGGAAGTAATAATAAATACTTGTATTTTAATAGGACTTTACAGGACCTTTTGCCCTGGACATAGAGATTATTTTTTAACCAATGTTTATTTCTGTGATTTCATAAGATGCACATCCACCCAAAAAAAAAAGAACAAAGAACATACCAAAGGGGAAGTACATTGGTAAGGAATGATAAGTACAAGGATAAAATGGTAACAGTGCAATGTAGAGAGACGAAGGGGTGAAGGAACATAGTAACCTGGAGCTGACTAGAGTTTTAAGCTGTAATGGTATGCTCTGTTCAATTGGATAGTCTACTTGTAGTTCATGGAAACATTTTCTTTATTTATTTTTGATGAGACAAAGCAAGCAACACCAGGATAAAAGCTTGTATTTTTAAATGTTTGCTTTGCATTCTTACATACATTTCTACTGTCATGGACCAGGAACAAAATTCTATACTAAATGGCTTTTCAGAGTTTTGCTTGAAAATTTTGCTCATGTACTAAATATAGCGTGTATTTAAATAGCTAACTTTCTATTTAAAATTACAGAGTCGTGTTCACTTTCGAGACTTCTCAAACTCCAGAGTTCCCCATGAGGACCTGCAGGGTAAAACCATTTTTTTTGTTTTGTTTTTTGTTTTTTTTTTGTTTTTTGCAATTCTAGTTCCTACATACTGTGCACATAGAATGTTTATCTATGGTCCTTACCAGGTATCTGTCATACGATACCATATTCATACCCCGGACAGATTTAGCATTAAAGTAATATTCCAAGTAATATTTAGCCAACATGTTTTTCTGACTCAAAATAATGTCAGTATTTGATATTATTTTTGTTTTCCACCCAGAGTACCATCTTGAATCTGAGGAGAGAGCTAAAAAAATTTGGTGATGGCGCTTTTCTAAAGATAAATTATCCAAATACCTGTGAACACATGAAAAACTGCTGGTCAAATATTAAAAGAGAAAGTTAGACTGCTGTATTGCCAATTATGATTTTTCCTTCAATCATTAAGAAACATATAAATAATTTTGGAAACGCCTTTTTAATATAATTTAAACAAAAACGGATCAAATTTTAATATTCATAGTCCTTTCATTTGGACAGAAGTAAGGTTGAATAAAACACATATCTAATTTTGCCAGGGGTATGAATAACTTGGGGCTCATTTTATATATATATATATATATTCGCAGAAAGCAGAAAAAAAAATTGCTGGCTTTGAAACCATAAGCCCACTTTCTGTGAGAGCTCTGTTTCATGTTTCTTACCCCAAGATACTAACAACCAGTCCAACGGTTCACTTATCCGTGATTTCTGTTATTTCTCTCATCATGCAGTTCAAAAGAAGGAAAATCAAATCCTCCTCTTTAAAACTAGCTTGAAAATGCTTGATCAGTTCTGCAACTGCAGTCCTTCCTTAGAAGAAGCAATGGTCCATCTGTGGAGTCCCATTTGTTGGTATTGACGGTGACTCGATTGAACCATCAGGACACAAACTGATCTGCTGCACCACCAGCGGTTTAGAGATGGAACTGAAGAGATGAGAATTCGGAGTGGCGGTGGGCTTTACAGCTGCTATGTAAAGTCATATCTGGAGTTCATACAGGCCGGTCCACAGCATACTGGCAGGGGCTTAGGTTGGACACGGTATTCTGCACCGCTGGATAGGCGAAGTTGGTGTGCTGCTTTGCTTTAAGCCGTAGGCTGGCCAAGCTGGAATTGCAGGTGTCTCTGTACATGTAGGGGCTGGCTGTGGTGGCGTAAGGGCATGTAGCTGCAGTCACCGCTACAGAGTTGAGCGCTGTCGGGCTGTTGAGGTTATTGATGTTCCCCAGGTTGTTTAGCCCGGCAGTAGGGACTCCAGTCACAGCTGAGGGCACCATGCTAGAGGGCATGTTCATGGAGGGGATGGAACTTGTAGGCGAGAACATAGGCTGGGTTGACAGGGGAGTTACATTCATTGAATTAAAGAATGGGAAGCTTTTGGCAGACAGCGGGCTGCTTGCTAGCCCTTTGGTTGCCCAGTTATTGTAGGAGTAGCCTGTGTACATTTCATCATACGGCTGCATGAGTCCATTGAACTGGGCGCCAAACCCATTTTTACACAACTCTGCCTGCTGGTTCCTTTCCCTTTTTCTCCACTTTGCACGGCGATTTTTAAACCATACCTACAGCATAGGAAAAAAGACAATCATATGTTTGTGCAAACAATTTAGTTGTAGTAAACTCTGAACAATAGAGTAAATGTCTAATCAAAACATCAAGTTCTGTTGTCTCATTAGTCAACGCCAGTAAAAAGGAAACAAACTCAACTCAAAGGTCACTCCATTACATTAAAGCTCAGTGTTTTCTGGCAGTTTTATTTACAATATGCCTTACTTTAGCAAATATATGACTTTGTGATCATATTTACTGAGGAAAGGAATTCAGTCCCTGAATAACAGCTGTTTGAATACAAGATGCAAAGAGAACCATGAAAAAAACAAGTGTGTTTTGGTCCTGCTAATTTTCATCAAGAGTGTAATTAATAACCTACTGAAAAAGCAACCTTGATTTTATGTAAATTGAAGATTTTTAATGTTCTTTAAAATATACTGTTGTTCTGTGCAAACATGGAGATGAGGCCACCAACTATGATATTATGGTAAAAAAAACTATTAGAGTGCAGTTATACTGGATTTAACAGTGAACACTTTTACATCTACTTTATGAATTTGATGTTTGCACGTAAGACAAAATTTCAGGAAAAAATGAACAAGTTTCTTCCAATTATTTCCTTCTTGAAACAGTCTGAAGTCATTAAAGTCTAATTCTAAAAAAAGATCCAGCCAGAGTAACTTAAGCCCACTCTCATGATTTCAGTATTACTGTGTGCACACGGGTAAAGACATAATGATCCCACAAATTAAGATGAAGTGTATCGTCAAACAGTATTAATCAGATCGTATTGAAACTAATCAGTCACTTATTTAAATAGTGAAATCTAAATGAAAGTCATGTCAGAGAAGGGCAATCTTCAAATTTGTAATTTTACGGTCTAATATCTACGGGATATTAATTTCATTAAACCCTTTGTTAAAATTTCAAAGGAAGAAAATGGATCTTAGGGAAAGTTCATCTGTGGGTAAATTCATGGAAAACTTTGCTCTAACTTTTATATCGAAGATAAACAAGATTAAATGTTTTGTGTTTGGAATCATTCCAATCATTTATTTAAAAAAGAAAAAGGGTCAAAAAAGGAGTCATATATATCATACACGTTTATCCCATTGGGGTGCTGGTGCCTATCTCCAGCGGTCAATGGGCGAGAGGCGGGGTTACTCTGGACAGGTCGCCAGTCCATTGCAGCAGGTGTGTGTGTGTGTGTGTGTGTGCGTGTGTGTGTGTGTGTGTGTGTGTGTGTGTGTGTGTGTGTGTGTGTGTGTCCATAAATGAGCAAAACAAGGCTGGAATCAAAAGGTGCTTTTGTCCTAGAATGCATCATGGCTCTGTGTTCTCTACAATACTTTGCATTTGATTTTAGTAGCAAATCATTGCCTGGAGGTGAACGCATTTTGTCTCTGAACAATGTTTGCATGTTAATGTTAACAAAGTCCAAAGCACTCTCCACCTTGGGAACAGATAAGTAACCAAATGTATTCACATTTCTCAATGCTGGATTATAGCCAGATTCTAATTAGAGCTTTATACTGTGATAAAAACTTATAGCAAGATATAAAACAAATATGAAGGCAAATTATTGAAACTTAATCATGCTGTTTTATCAAATGATCAAAAGTTTAAAGCGAAAAACCCCAAAAACCCAAAAAAAGAAAAAAAAAAAAAAAAAAAAAAAAAAAAAAGATTTAATGGTGAGCAGGCACTGCTCTTGTTTATAAGTTCAAAAATTCATGATGGATGCACATGTTTCCTGTAGTCTGGAGGGAATGCTGCTTCATGGCTTTAGGAAGAGCTGCTTTAGTGTGGAATTCATCCCATCCATCTATATTATCTTACATGCTTATCCCTTGTGAGGTTGCGAGGGGTGCTAGTGCCTATCTCCAGCAGTTTACAGGTGAGAGGCAGGGTCACCCTGGACAGATCACCAGACCATTGCAGGGTTACACAGAGACAGACAGGACGAATGCACACACACACTCACACCTAAGGAGAATTTAGACAGAGGAGTTAACCTGACATTCATGTTTCTGGTCAGTGGGAGGAGGCCGGAGTACCCAGAGAGAACCCATGCATGCACAGAGAAAACATGCAGAAAGACCCCGGGCCGGGATGTGAACTCAGGAGGAACTCACTCCCATTTTTGTAAGTCTCTTATGTGTAACCTTCCGTAAACATTTTCCACAGGATTTAAATCAGGAGAACATGTAGGGTGGTACATAAGAAGAAAATTGTTTCCCAGGATAAAGTTATGAACTTCTGCATTCATAACACAGTAGTCAAGCAAAGTTAATATATTTCACAGGGATGCCTGCTGCAACATCTCCCCATAGCCAGTTTTGATGTCCCTGCACAACCTGAAGCAGAAAACTCTCCAGATCATGACAAAGCATCCTCCACTGTGTCTTGTTCAAAATCTGTCTACTGGGACTTCCTTGTTATGCCAGTAACATTGCAACCCATGAGGACCGTCCAGATTCTACCTTTCACTGTCCCGTATTTGGTACACCCTTACACAGTTCAAACACAGTGACGTTTTTAAAGTTTGCTCAAAATTTGCATGACAATGAGATGGAAACATAGCTAATGACTGTGTGTGTAATGTAAACGGGCTTCCCCATGATCATAACATTTCTCCATTTAATCAGTTATACAGGTCTGAGGATTGAGGGTTTTCATTAAATGAAATTCATAACTAACAGTGTTAGTTTTGACATCATTTTAATAAACTCATTCTCAGAGATTTATTATACACTCTGAGTAGTGAATGTGTCTAACTTTTAGAATTCAGTTACAAAAATAAAGGAACTGTTCAATTTTATTCTAACTTCCAGAAATGGACCTTTATGTTTTTAGAATGAGTAAGGAAATAAGCCAGAATACCACAAAGAAGAGAATATATTTTGTACATTCCCTTAGGATAATCCAGGATAATCAACCTAGATCATACACGTGTTGATGTCATGATATGTATGTACAAACGAGTACCCTCGGTGAGTCTAGATTTTGTGATGAAAGCTTTGGTTGAAGTTAAATCTCCCAGTGCAACTGTGCCATATGTGTGCCTCAGAACACGACTACAACACAATCAACACAATCGAAAGTCATGTTGAAAGGACCAAGTGACACTGTCGCTGACATTCTGACCTTTTTTAAAAAATAAAAAAAAAAGTCCTGCAGTTTAAATTGGCCCAGTGTTCTTGCAAGGTCCAAACATATAGCTAATGTAACATAAAAACAAACAAAAAAAAACATACAGAACCTGGTTTCCTATTCTAATGAGATGATAAGAGCAAGTGTGTGTGTGCACCCACCCTGACCCGAGCCTCAGTGAGGTTGGTCCACACAGCGATCTCTTCTCTTGTGCTCATGTCTGGGTAGCGGTTTCTCTGGAAGGTGGCTTCCAGCTCCTGGAGCTGCTGGCTGGTGAAGTGAGTCCTTTGCCGCCGCTGCTTCTTTTTCAGAGAGCCATCTTCAACACCTGACTCATCCAACTTGTTCTGCTGGGATTTCTCAGTGTCTGCAGATAAACAGGAACTATCATTATTATCAGTTTCTCTCTCGCTCTGTTTTTCTTTACATGTTATTATACAACACATATTAAGAAGAATTCATAGATGTACATTGGCAAGGAGTTGGTAATTATTCTGATGCTGCATGTCAAGTTGTTATTTGCAATTGTCATTATTACTATTACTATTATCCGTAGATTTTCTTGTCTTGTTATGAGTTAGTTTGATTAAATAAGTGTTCACTTCTTCCTACTCCTTCTCAAGCAGACAAGTCGTGGTAAGCTAATTATTTTGTGTTCTTGGTGATGCACGTACATCCATACTGACTGCTTTCTTCTCTTGTTTTTAAAAACCT